AATAACTAGATAGCTAACTGATTATATCTAACGCACTATGATTAAGAAGCCGAACGCCATATGCGTGGTAGTCAATGTTTTTGTTTGTTATCACTTTATCAATTCGAATTTATCATCATATTATTGTACAGATATTATATCAATAATTTATTGCATACATCTTTGTATTATGTACAGTCAATTATTGCTAATATAATTTTCATTTTTCATAAAAAAAATTGTTTTATGTGATTTTTAAGTACTTAATTAAATATGCCGCAGAACATTTCTTTTTGCTTCTAACTGATAACTTGAAAAACATAAATATACCAAATTTAGAAAATAAAATAATTGCACTTGTCAATAATAAATGTGTGCTTGATCGTAATATATTTAAGACACTTAATTGTGAAAATGTATTATATTGGTCGAGTACCCATTTATAGTTTTTACCTGGTTATACTTGTTTAATCTCTTTTCCGTGGTTCATACATTTATATAATATTATATATTATATAGTTATATATTTGTTATACTACTTATACTTATACGTACTTAACAATTTTATTTTATATTTAAATAAATTACTTATTAATTATTATTAGTAATAAGTAATAACAATTTAATTTAATATATTGTATTTCATAGTGATAAGAAATGATAACAAAAATTAATGTAAACATTGACTACCACGCATATGGCGGTTGACTTCCGACTGTTACGATAGTTAGCTATCTAGTTATTGTATATATCTGTGGCGACAACAGTTAAATTTTTTCTGATCCTATCCAAAAATAATAATTATAATAAAATTGGTTTTTTACGCTTAATTCAAGTATTTGAAAAAATTTCCGGAAAACTTCAAAAGTTATGGCAATTCAAAGTTGTCAATATTAAAAAATATAGGTACTTTTGAATGGACGAACGAGTGACCACGCTGGGAATAAATATACTTAGAAACAATATTGAGGAAAACCGAGGTTTACCTGAGGTAGTTCACACAGCAAATAGGGGGATATTTTCGATTTGCGGAGCGGAGCGACGGCGCCGAGGAGCGTAGCGACGAGTGCCGACACACGCGTAATCGCTGCAACTTTGATATGCCATAACTTGTGAGTTTCCGGAAATTTTTGTAACTGGGAAACGGTGTAGCTGGTGGTACGCAAATTTAAAAAGTTTGAGAACCGCTGGTCTAAAGCCCTGTTCACACGATCAAATAATTTGTCAAATATTTGACATTCGTCAAACTCCAAATATTTTAGACCATTTCTAAAATATTTGAAGTTTGACATACATCAAATATTTGACAAATTATTTGATCGTGTGAACGGGGCTTAAAGAAACTAAAAATTATACAATACAAACTATTACAAATAATACATTTCTATGTATCAAAATTAGAAAATTCTGAATTTTACATATATTTATATATTTTTTAATTCTATGTTAACGTTATTATTTGATGATAAGCCAGCCAAATGCCTTACTGCGGGGAAGCGCTCGTATAAATCATAATATGTTAAAATTGATAACAAATTATTAATTATTAACCAAATCCACGATTAAAGATAGTACTATCTATAGCCGTGACCAAATCTGTAAACTCGGTTCATGGTTGTGTCAAGAAGGTTAGAAATTGAATTTCGGATATATGTTTGAGGTTATGTTTAGTTATTGTCATAGATCAATATAGAAGCGAAACTGAATCAGCTGATTGGGGTCTTGGTTAGCTATGATCTGAAGTCTGAACCTGAAAACACGAAAACGGTTCCACGCTCCAACCACAGTAACCACACAGACCCATGGTTATCAATATTATGAGAACGGTTCCAAGACTGGCGGGATACGCTACGCGGGGTAGCATATTATGCCTCTTTATATTAATTCAATTCTATAGTCTGTCTCACGAAAGAACGGGACCGTTTCGCGCATGTAGACTGATTCGATTGGTGGGTGGATAACCACGTGATCACGCTTACAACGAAAAGTTGGTGGGGGATGCGCTGCGGCGAACGAGTTTTGGTCGGCCGCCGGTCCCGTTCTCTCGTGAGACAGACTATATGTATATAATATATATATATATATATATATATACCGAGTACCTACTCAGATCCTGTTAGTGCATTCGGATCTATAAATAGCGTTTGGGTTTCTTCGAACGGTGGTTGTCGATGTACTATCGCAGAACGATATTCTATATTATCATGATAATATATAATAATACCTAATAAATAATAATAGACAATGGGTATTATACTATTCACTATATTCACGAAATAAATTTGTCATCATTTATCAGTAAAGTTATTTCACAAGTAGGTACATGTTTGATGTTTATAACTTTGTGAAACAATTTATTATAATATTCATTTGTTCTTGTGTTATTATTTATTAACAATGTTTGAACTCAATGGTTTCTTTTACGATAATAATAGAACGAAAAACGGGATCACGTAAGTACCCACTTTTAACTTTATAATTTTATTTACATTATAATCGAATTAAATAAAAAATACATTCATCGCTTCAGAATCTAAAAGATTAATAGATAAATCATTGTTGTATAATTGTAGGTACCATATATTCAGTGCCGCATTTAGACATTTTGCGCCCATGTGCAAAAAAAATTGATGCCCCCTAAGCCCCGGTAAAAAAAAATTGCTCCCCCATTAAGGGGCCTACACGCTTAAAATATGGGAAATAGATCCTCATTAACCCTTTAGATTTTGAGCACAGAAAAGAATATTTGTTTTACAATGTGTGCTTTTTTAAAAAATATTGTTTAGTAATTGCTTAATTCTCTCTCCGGAAAGATACATTTGAATTTATGTCACTTAAACCTTGCTTATAATTCATTATATAAGTTGTTTTTTTAACATATTTATGTAGGTACTTCATGTATAAATAAAATAAAATCATATAAATCTATGCAAATTAATATTAATTAAAAAAATTTCAAACAGCATAATACTATATATATATATAATACTGTTATTAAAATAATACAATTTTAATAACTTACAAGTAAACAAATTTCTGACCACAAAATTTTGGCCCCCCTAAAATGTTGGCACCCGGGGCAGTTGTACCCAGCGCCCTCCCCTAAATGCGGCCCTGCATATATTGTGTCATTATTGTATTATATTATTACTTATACTATTATTGGAAAAAATTGATTTTTTCAATTTGTTTTGTAATACATAATGCAGTATTGCAGTACCTATTTTAAAAAAGTTAAAAATTACTTATTCATAATATTATGTAAAATCAAGATCAGTATTTTACAAAAAAAAAAAAATTGTATGTTAAAAATTTCCCCCTAGTGTAATGTAAGACACATCATATAAATATAAAATTAACTATACAACTTGTTTTCGTTTTTTTTTATTGTAGATATTATAGATGTAAAAAAGCACAATCGCATTTTTGTAAGGGATCGGCGAAACAGTTAGTAGATGGTACTAAAGTGGCAATACAACCTCATAATGGACATGTAATAGATGTTGTAGACAACAGGGCACTAATCAATGATTTTCGTAATATCTTGAGACGTAGAGCAGCAACAGAGAACACCTTGTTAAAAAATATGTACGATGAAGAAGCCAGAAGGTAATAATTTCATATAACAATATGTGCCTAATATTAAGATACTTTGGTAGTGGTAACAAATAATCACTAAAAAATGTGCCCATAATAGACATATGGAAGCTGCTGCCTTATACACCTGGTCAACAGCAGAATCATTAATGCGTTCCGCAAGGAGAAATGCGTTACCCAGATTGCCAGGCAATTTACTAGAATTTGCGAGATTGTTTGAGGAAGAACACCTGGAGAGGTTTACATGTTGTAATAATGTCTTATTTAGAGGTTGTGTGCAGGATACTAATAACAAGACAAGTATAATATTTGCCTGTACACAACTTATTAGATCCGTCCTCAATAATGACGTACAAGAGCTTTACGCGGATGCAACATTCAAAGTTATTCCATCAAACATGGGTTATCAAATGTTAACATTACATTGCATGGTACAAAATTATGTAAGATTATTTTAAAACTTCTATGATAAATTAAAACTAAAGCGGAATTCATACTGGTTACTGGCATTTGCTCTTAATAGACTTAATAATTAATAATTTTATAAAATAAATGGTGACAATATGCACTCAAAAAACTTTTTTAATTGTTTTTATTTTTAAATACTCTAATAGTTGCTAAAATATTAGAAATACATAAATATATTTTGTCTATATCGCCCATATGTAAGAACATAGCAAATATCAGATTACATCTTATTAAATACCTACCTATGAATAATTATTTGCAAAGAACCCAGTTTATAATACTATTACATCATTGCCAAAATTTGTATATTTTATATATTTATTGATATTTTGTTGGTAAATTTAAATATGTTATGTTAAGGCGGCTCTTAGTGGCTATTATTTAAGGGGAACAATTTAGGCAATTTCTAATCTTGTCGTCGCCGCTTGTAATCTATGTGTTAGTCGTAAATGATTATTAGTGTGAAATTCGAAGAAATTCGAGCTCGATAACAATAGATTTTATATCGCCCGGCTGCGGGCACACGGTTCAATAGCACACGTACGCGCATGCACAAGTCAACGTAATCACTCTCGAAAAATATTTTTGTACATTCACAACAGTGAAAAATGCTAATAAGCTGGCGAAAAATACATATACTTCTAGTAGTCCAATTTCAATTTTGAAAATCGTGTCATGAAGAACTCACTTTTAAAACTAGTTGTAAAATAGGTTGCATCATATTCATACAAAAAATAAAATTGAATGATTTGATTTGACTTTTAAGTCCTAAGCCCTTCATTTTTACATCTGGCAGCAAACTCTTTTTTGTTATTTCGTCTAACGCTTTTAATAATGCTCTATAGTTATGTTTAATTTACTGCCTCTGAGCGACATGCCCACCTTGTTGTTGAGCATGACTTTAACGTTTGAAGATTAGACCCATGTTCTTTAGCTATATTTTAAAAAATAGCATGTCAAGTAGGGCTGCCTTCAATGAAAGAGTATAAAAATTGAACAGATCCTAAAAAGTTAAATACTACTTGATTTTTGTTACTTGTATTACTTGTGATTGAATTAATTAATGACAAATTTAAGCAGTGTGCATAGCAATGTACATACAAAATGTTTGCATTCATCTCTTTGAATTTTCTTTGTACCCCACCTATATTACCAGACATTGTAGAGGCCCCATCAAAACACACAGCAATTATTGATGACCAACCTATACCAAATTTGGAATGTATAATATTACTAATAGCTGTGAATATAGATTCAGCATTAACAGAAACTAACCGTACTAAATCGAGAAAAGTTTCAACAGGTCTATTCATTTGATCATCAAAATATCGTATAACGATTGAAAGTTGCTCATGATGACCAACATCACTAGTTTCATCGGCTAAGATTGAAACATATACATTTTGTAAATCTGCTTTTACTTTTTTAATAAGAACATTATGTATGGAACTAATTAGGTCGTTTTGGATTCTATTACTGGTATATTTTGCATTTTTTGGGCCATTTTCAAAGTGTTCTTTCAAAACTATTTCATATTTAGCAAAAGTATTAACTATTTCTTTGAATAAACCCTTTTGATTACTTTTTTCTCCTTCATCATGACCTCTAAAAGGCCTTCCTCCTTTAACAAGACACAAAGTTATATCTATCAAACGCTTCATAATTTCTCTATTGTGCAAACGATCACTTTCACATTTGGAAATATATTCTTTTCTACTTATATCTATTTGTTGATCAATAGAAGTAGTATTTAAGTAATCAGCTTGGGTACTAAAAATATGGGATTTAGTAATTTGATGTTTATTAAAACAATTAATACCTCTATACCATGTCCGTCAAGTTGTCACCGGCACAATAAGCTAGGACTATAATTCTAATATCAAAAAATTGCTAGGAATTTGCTAGATTTTGCTAGATCATTTTCAGAATTTGCTAGTATCTCGTTTAAGCGTAAATCAAAATTCAAATATGCCGGTGCCAACTTGACCCAGCACCGGCACATTGTCCGATCGGCTCGAAAGTGGTATCAAACAATTGCTAGTGAATTGCTAGATTTTGCTAGATGGTTTTTGGAATTTGCTAGACTTTGGTTTTTCCGGAAAACCCAGAAAATGGAAAACGGCCCAGAACTGGCACATTGTCCGATCAGCTCGAAAGTGGTATCAAACCAATTGCTAGATTTTGCTAGGTGGTTTTTGGAATTTGCTAGGCTTTGGTTTTTCCGGAAACCCGGAAAATGGAAAACGGCTCGGCACCGGAACATTGTCCAATCGGCTCGAAAGTGGTATCAAACAATTGCTAATGAATTGCTAGATTTTTCTAGGTGGTTTTTGGAATTTGCTAGACGTGCGCGGGAAGTGAAACTTCTTTTGAACGGAAGGTACACGCGAGTGAATGAAAAAGATAGAAAGACATAGAAAGAATGTGGTAATGAGGATAATAAAGAAAGAAACAATTTAAATTATATTTTTTATATTTATTTTTATTTTTATTTTTTTATTATAATGATTGATTATCATTTTGCTCAATCTCTATAGTAGTTATGGTTGGCATATGATAACTAAAATAGGAAACGTACTTTTGCGACTGAACATTATCGATATATCGCGTAAAAATTGCATCGATTGTTGTGCCTGATTTGGTAGTCGATATTGTTGAATCATTATTCAATTACAAACTGAATTTGTATTGCAATAAAGTTACGAGTGGTGCTGAATCAATATTAATTACGACTATTTATTTATTTATTGAGTTCTTTGTTTAATAACCCAACCAAAAAAACTGTCGCTTAATATTATACTTACAACTTACAAGAAATGTTGGTATTATTTTTCACTTGTCACTAGATAATTTTTTTTTCTCTACATTAATTAATTAAATTTAATATAGTTGTTTAAAAAAACAAAAAACACTATATAAATCATAACAATCATAACTCCCTAAACAAAAGTCGTATAACGTTGACATCGATACCAATCGATACAGCGGAAAGCTCTCTATAAGTCCCGACTACAAAAACGGTTCGATGTGCCTAAAAATACCTACTATTTTCACTACTTACTATACTTATTTGTGTAGAGTATTAACTAGGTCTGGAAAATCTAGTCTTATAATCTTCAGTTGACACACATAAATCAATGAAAACGGACTAAACAGATCTGAGATCAATTATGAAAATTGCAAAATTATTATTTATGCAGCGGCCAGCGGTATAATATATTTATATTATTATATCGCCAAGTACTTATTATACAAAGCTAACTCACCAGGTAACCATTAAAGTTACCTAGGAATCGGTGCAAACCACTTGCGCCCATCACACCTTTTTTATAACCCACTTGCGCCCGAAATTATAACCCATTTGCGCCCGAAATATTTTTAATGAAAATGTGTTAAACCCGTGCGACGTTCCCAAACTGTATTCTGGAATACAAGCAATACTACTTATTACCTTATAAAGTTAAAATTATTGTACATATTATTTTTCCCGTTTTAACTATTTTTAATTTTTATGTTACACTCTTATCGATATTATCGAATATCGGTCCATTTTATCTTAATTGGACTTCATGACGACTCTCACTTCTGTCTGTGTAGTGCAATCTTGCAAAAACTATAAATACCTATTTTACTAGAGCATTATAGGTGAGTTTTGAGTGTGTTAAAATGGAATTTAATATAATAAATACTACTAAAAACCGCGAGTGTTTAATTTTTCGTAATTATAAATTCCACTTCAGTAGAAATTTGGTTTCGGGAAATATATCTTGGCGTTGCATTAAAAAAGATTGTAGTGCGTATGTAAAAACGAATTGTTCAAAATCAACACTAATCGAGATTAAAGACATCCATAACCATGAACCGAATAGTATTGAAGATTTAAACTTGCTGGAAGTTAGAGGTAAGTGCAAAAGAAAAGCATGCGAGGATTTAAATTTACGGCCAAATAAAATAATACGCATTACGCACGGAGCTATCTTCATGTAGTACATCCAAATTTTCTGATATAAATAGTATTAGAAAATCTATAACGAAAAGTGCTGCCTCCTATTCCTAAATCACTTGATGAGGCAATCGCACAAATTTCCGATTTATAAGTTTTGACAAATAAAAACGAGCAATTTAAATTTGTTGATAGTGTAAACAATATTATATTGATAACGCGCAAATCAAATTTAAAATTTGTATGCAATTATAATATACACATATTTGGTGATGGTACATTTACATATAGACCTTCTTATTTTTATCAAATGTATGGTATACATGGTTACAAAAATGGATTTTATATACCTTTAATTATTGAATTTTTGCCCTCAAAATCATTTGATTGCTATGTAGCAATGTGGAATTTTATTTGTGAATTGGGTATAAATGAAAATCAACAACCGTTTAACCCAATATCAAAGCATCTAGATTTTGAAATTGCTGCTCACCAAGCTTTCAAAAACGTATTTAACAATAGTACCATAAAGGCTTGTAGATTTCACTTGGGTCAGTGTTGGTATCGGAAGATAAATTCTATTACAGATCTGAAAAAGTTTTATAATGATAAGTCTTCCGATATAGCCAAATGGCTAACAATGTTCTTCGGATTACCATTTTTACCGTCGAATGAAGTCGAAGATGCTTTTTTTGATATTCAAAATTTACGCCCGACTTTAATTTATTATGCTTATCAGAATTTTCGGACTATATATTGTATAATTATATTATTATTGGGTGTACATTTCCACCATCAATTTGGGCTGAACCTCCTTCTGAAGCGCCACGAACAACAAATTGTGCCGAGTCTTTCCACAAACATTTTAATGCTCAATTTTATTCACCCATCCTCCAATTACTAATGTTATCGAAAATTTAAAACTAATTCAAGTGGAAACTTATTTGAAAATAAAAGAAGTTACTAAAGGCACAGTGAAACCTAAACGAAATGAGGAAAAAGAACGTATAGAATTTCCATGTACAACTTGGACCGAATATCAAATAAAAAATATAAGCAGAGTCCAATATTTAAAAAAAATTGCTTTTAAATTTAGAGGCATTGACTTATAAAAAAATTGTTTATATATTTTTTTTTTATTATATATGACGTGTGAAAAAATCAACATTATTAATTTTTATAATAATTGCATGTACTAAACCATATATTATATTATTATATTATGTTTCTTTTTTAATTTGAAATATTTATATTATTTTTATAATTTTATGTACCTTATCTTTCGGGCGCATCTGTCCATATCCCTCCGGGCGCAAATGTGTTACTGTGGGGCGCAAATAGGCTTTAGCCCTAGGAATTACTTAATAACAATATTATATTATATAAACATGTACCTACGCGTTTGACGTTCGTACGGTCACCCGTTCGTACGGCCGCCCGTTCGCTTTTTTTTCCTCACTACCCTGCGTAAAGAAGTTTCACTTCAAATTATTAATTTATTTTAAGTTTTTTTTTCTGGAATTTTCAAATACTAAATATGCTATTTTTTTAGCCTGTGGAGCGACAATTGAAGTACAGACTAAGAGTGAGGTCACACGAGCGTTATATTAACGGACGTTACGACGGACGTCATGAAGTCCGTTGTTGAAATTCATTACAATCATACCTAGCAGCCACACATACGACGTCCGTTGGATTTACCGTCCGTTCGACGTTGGCGATACGCAAGATATGCTATAACGTCCGTTACGATTAGCTTATCAGCGTTGTAGATTATTATTAGATTCAATTGACAAAGACAGACGAACGTTGTTTTGACGTCCGTTTTTGTTATTTCAGTTCATGTTTTTCACTTGTAGGTAGAAAGTGATTTCATTTTAATTCATTTTAATAAATTAAATTAACTTAAATTAATTAAGTGTAAATTAATTAATAAAATTGAAGTTAATATGGAGACTGAGCAGTTAATATCCGAAGTTGAAAAACGACCAGTATTGTGGGACACGTCTGATGATGATTATAAAGACAGAAATAAAAAAAATGAAGCTTGGTTGAACGTTACGTCTGCTTTATATGACAATTTTTCAAACAATACCGAAACTGAAAAAAAAGTTATTAGTAAGTAGATACAAATAATATAAAAACAATTTATTTTATAATAAATATTTTTATTGAAAATAATAAATCAAGACACGATATCGGTAATTCTAAAATTATAACAAATAAGTACTTAATTTATAATATTATAAATTATTATTTTATAATGAATGAAAAGATTTATTTAAATTTTTTCATTTTGCCAAGGTATTTGTCCGTCTTCAGACACAAAATAATTAGCTAAAGCGTCCCGATATCTATTTACTGATCTATTTACGTATAAATTATTATCATAATCAAGGTCTTCCATCCCTGTAATTGTCAAAGTATCGTCAAATTTAAAACCATCACGATCACGTACAAAATTATGTAACACACAACAACATTTTACAATATCAATAGCAAACTCCACATTAACATCAATTGGTCGATGGAATATTCTCCACTTATTTGATAATATTCCGAATGAACATTCTACGTAACGCCTTGCCCGAGACAATCTATAGTTAAAAGTTCTTTTAATATCTTGTAAATATTTTCCCGCATAAGGCCTAAGCACGTTTGTTGATAAACCAAATGCCTCGTCACCTACAAATGCGTAAGGAATAGGAATATTAATACCGGGTATGAAGTTTGGGCTTGGAATATTTAATGAATTATTTTGTAATTTATTCCATAGACTAGAATTCTTAAAAATACTAGAATCCGAGTCTTTTCCAAATGAACCAACATGAATATAAGTAAAACGGTAATTTGAATCGACTACTGCGAGTAAAACAATGGAATAAAAATGTTTATAATTAAAGTACAACGAAGCACTTCCTGGAGGCTTGGTTATCCGAATGTGCTTTCCATCAACTGCTCCCAGGCAGTGCGGAAAATTTGCTCGATGTTGAAAACCTTCGGCTATTTTTCTCCAATCTTCTTCATTCGGTGTAGGCATACATTCGTTTGACATAACATCCCAAATTTGTTGACAAACTGTTCGTATTATGTTACTTAAAGTAGATCGTCCAATTCTATACGCATAATGTAAATCATGAAGGTTGTTTGAACTTCCCAAATATCTAAAAATTTTAAATTTAAATTTAAAATGTCTAATCATTAATATAGGATTAAATAGGATACTAAGTATAATCTTAATGTTAAATTAAGGAAAATTATTAAATGTTCTCATAACATTGTGATTGGAAAATAGAAGTACTAGGTATATTATTTGTGGTAATATTTGAAATTAGATGTTTTGACCTATTTACGTGTTATTTTATTTATATTTTAATATTAATTACTTTAATGAGCTCTCCCTTATGTTATTGTTAAAAATAAATGACACATGCAGTATTACATATTTATTTTATTTATCTTATTTGTTATTTTATTTTTAAACGGTAAAATATATTTAATTGTTAAAAAGTAGGTAGTAATTAAAAAATGCATACATTTTTTAGTACAAGAAGTTATTTCAAAATGGAGAAGTGTTCGCGACAATTATACACGCAGTCTTAAAAAACAAGCAGAATGTAACAAATCTGGAAGTGGTGCGAAAAAAATTCAGCGATACATTTTCGAACAACAACTTTCATTTCTGAAAAAATGCAGAGAACAGCGTCCGACTTGTAGTAGCTTACAATTACACGAGCAAACTAACGAAGATACATCTAGATCTGATTTCGATGATATTGAATCAAATATTAATTATAATACTCAATGCTCTGAAAACGAAGGAAACCAAAATGATACATCTATTAGTCCATGCCATAAGTCCACGCCAGCAAAAAAAAGAAAAACAACGCATTCACTTGAGGATAAATTAGGTGCTTTTTTGGATTCACGAACAATTAACACGAATAATTCATCTGTGGACATGACTGATGAAGATATGGCATTTTATACATCAACATTGCCCATAGTGAAAACTTTAACCTTAAATCAAAAAATGCGTTTTCGAATTGAAGTTATGCAACTGCTACAAAATTTAAAACATACTGGTTCATCAATGGAATCTTCAATTGCTCAAACTTCTTATGTTGAACCATATCGTCATCACAATAATATGCCAGTATCACCTCATACATATAACGATCAATATTTTCAATCAAATATATTACGTCCAAACTCAGCATCATCTTCTAATTCTATACAGGCTTATTATACACAGTTTTCTCCAGAAAACCAAAATCCACCATCAAACTAGTCAACAATAAGTTAACTTAAGTGATGGATTTTTATGATTTGCAGTAAAATTATTTTTAATATTTTTTTTTTAATTCTGAAATTGTCAAAAATACGTGATTTGTATAAAATTTTATAATATCAATTATTTCAAGTTAATTGGTTTTTTTTCTTTTAATAAATTAAAATATTTTCAATAATGATCATATACAAGATGGTACCTATATTTATTTTAATAATTTATTTGTAATAATTTCTTCATATAATAATTCAAATATTATAATACATATAAATAACTATCAATAATAAATATATTATTTTTTAATTTTTACTTACCTCAGAGTAACAGCTAGCATTTCTTCGGGTGGTATCGCAGATCTCATATTCGTATCTTGACGTATGATTTTATGTTTAATTTTGGCAAAAAGTTCATCAAATGACGTTAAAGACATACGAAAATAATTAAAAAAACTTACATCATCAGCTCGTAATCTACTATAAAGAGTGTAAAAATCACCATGCAATAATCTTTCACTATTAATTGGGTGCACCCACCATTTTCTTTGCACTCGTTTTTTTTCGCGAATAATTTTCAAAGCAGTATACGCAAAAATCGCAACCTCTTCGTCATCCATTTTGATGATAACTGACGTTGATCCTAGCTAGTGTGACCAGAAAAGTAACGACCGTTAAAATAACGTCCGTCGTAACGTCCGTTAATTAACGCTCGTGTGACCTTACTCTAAGCAATCTGAATTTATTAGTGTTTTATTTACGTTTATTTTACATTATAATAAAATGTTTGCGACCTGAAAATCCGAGTTGAATATTATAGCGTACGAAGGTAAAGCGTATAGTTGGTTTACCATCTATTATCCAATACGGGTGATACCATACTACCTACCTACTTTTAAACAACATATTAAAAATTGTAGCTCAATCATACCAGAATTATGACGATTCAAAAATGTTGGGCCATTCAAAAACATTTTAATGATTATTATTTATTAATTATAATTTTTGCAAATATTAGTATATTGGGCATCATTCTGTATAATCAGTAATCACACAATATAATATACTTCTATTCTGCGGTATCATCACATATCATGCTTACGGCAAGTATGATGAATATGAAAAATATAGATATGATTTAGAGACAAAAATATTATTTAGGACTATACCACAAAATAATTATTATAGTAGACAAATAATATTGATTAGGTGGATTACGGGAATATTTTATTTACGATATTATAGATATTATTCACCAAGACATAACGCGATGTACACTACCCGGCACCCAACAATCAACATATTTTGTGCACCACTCCCCCCTCACCACCACACCATTATTGTTCGACAGTCCTATACTTATATCTGTATATCTAGTCTGCGATCTAAATATAAAAATTAATATACTAATATATTGTAGTATTGAAATTATTAATAAAAATGGATATAGGCAACATTTTATTTATAGAAATTCATTGAAATTATTTTATTTTAATGTCTATGATATTATAATATTATCATTGTGTTATCCGCATTGCTCGAATAAGTTTTATTTAATGCTTTTATTCTAAGAAGTTGTTTATAATTTGAATTGTTTATAATTTTTAATAAATACAAAAT